CTTTTCTTGAAGTCCTTATTTACAGGTTGCTGTCCCTACCCTTGGGAATTTATATCCTCTTTGGACTTCACCTGTATTGATGTTACCTTTTATACTATTATAGTTTCATGATTTTAGAGATTTATATTTTCATGCACAATGTATGAATCATATTCTGTAATTCCCACTCACAGTGGGCGAGACCTGACCTGTTTACATGCCTTTACTTGTCATAATGACCAACAACAAAAAAATAATAATAAAAATCTTTGAACGAAAAAAACGTTCAGTCTAAAATTAAATTTGGGTGCATCCCTCGTATGTACACTATATTGCTAAAAGTGTGTGGATACCTCTTTGCATGTATGTTGTAGCATTAACAGCACTGGAAAAATGTGAACGAATACAAAGACATTTTAGACAATTGGGAGCATATAACCTTGTGACAACAGCTTGACTGTCCCCTGTGCACAAAGGCTGGTCCACAAAGATATGGTTTGACAAGTTGTGGAGTGGAGGATCTCAGTTGGCATGGACAGAGCCCAGACTTCAGTCCTAAATACATTTGGGATAAGTTGGAATGCTGTTTTGTTTCTTGTCCAACATCAGTACCTGACCTCACAAATTCCCTTTTGTAGGAAGTTTCACGCAATTGCCTACAGACGCACTCCAAAATCTTGTGCAAAGCCTTCCCAGAGGCGTGGAGGCAGTTATAAATGCAGAAGAGAATCTAAATCCATATTAATGGCCATGGTTTTGGAATAGGATGTCCTGCAAGCTTGTATAAAGCTTTGGCCATATAGTACAATTGTACTTGTGCACCCTTCTGCTAGTTATAAAGGAATTTGGGCGGCTTCTTTTTCTTAGGGCCTATACAGTATGCATAAGAATTTTGTTTGGAAGGGTGTGGTATTGTTGTCACAGGATTTAAGCTAACAAGATGAGCACGTCTTGACACCTTTTATGATGCCTGCTTTTCATTCCTTGCTTTTCATTCCTTATCTTAACATGATATTGTTTACAGTAGTTTCTTTTTAGCTGTATCCTCAGTACTTTAACCTTTTATAGATCATACTTTTTGGGATGCTCAACCTTCTGAAAATGATAGGATGACCTGATTACTATTTGTCCCTTTCACAAAGCAGAACGTTTATCTAAAGGGGGATCCTTACATGCTGCCTGGTACGCCTAATGTCTAGTAAGAGAAATAAACTAAACTTAAGTGACACTAAACTCAGGAGTTACATTTTTGTTAATAGTTAAGGCACTTGAATGCATGTTTAAGATTTTATCTTATCCGTGTATCACTCAGCTGTAGATCCTCAAATCATCTCGGAATTGGTGCGGACACTGTCTTTCCTCCTAGAGGGTGGCTACTTTTGTTCCCCATGCTCCCTGTGTGTGTGTTGGAAAGTAGCCACCACTCCCGTGATGGACTACAATCTCAATACGAATTGATAAACTATACATGAGATTGTAGTCCATCACAGGAGTGAGCTTGGAGCGGTGACTACTTTCCAACACACACAGGGAGCATGGGAAACAAAAGTAGCCACCCTGCAGAAGGAAGGACAGTGTCGGCACCAATTCAGAGATGATTTGGGGTTCTACGGCCGAGTGATACACAAATAAGATACATTTTTGTTAATAGGTAAGGGTACTTGAATGTATTTTTAAGATTTAGCGCCTAACTTTAGTGTCACTTTAACCACCTCCGGGCCGGCCGTAGTAAAAAAAAAGGCCGACCCGGAGCTCTCTAGATCTGAGTGGGCGTCTTTAGACGTCCGCTCAGACACGCCCCCCTCGCGCGCGTGAGCGGGAAATGACCGCAATTTAAAAACCAGGCAGCGGTGCCTGTTAACATGCAAGCGGCGGATCGCTTGTATTTTGCAACGATCGGTGCAAAATACCCCCCCATTGTCCCGCTGATCCCGGGCTCCGCTGTGCCCGGTGCGAGCCCGGGATCAGCATGGTGCCTGTGTCACAGGGGATCAGAGGGAGATCGTTACACGAGCTCCCTCCGGTCCCCTCTCCTCTGAGAGAATGCGGAAGTGTTGTATAATACATCACTTCCGCATTCTTGTGTCACTCTCCAGCTTCAGAAGCTGATGGAGCAGATCTGTGCTTCATCAGCTTCTTTTGGGGGGTCCTAGGTGACATTAGGGGTCTTGGAGACCCCTGATGTCTCCATAAAGAGGACCTGTCACATATTTTGCTATCACATAGGGGGTTTTATTAGCCCCCGTATGTGATAGCAATAAAGTTTAGTGGAAAAAAAAATTAAAGTCCCCCCCCCACCCAAAAAAATTTTTTTTTAAGTTACACATAAAAAATAATTACAAAAAATAAAGTCCCCACCCATGCATGCAAACATGCGTCGGGGGCGCATACGTGCAAAAAAAGACGATTGCGCCCATTACGCCGCACATGTTACATATCGCCGCGAACGTCGGAGTGAGAGCAATAAGTCTAGGGCCATCAATCACTGATAACACTAAACTGATGAGCGGTAAAAGCTTTTAAAGCGTCGCCTATGGCCAATTTTGGGTATGGTAGTTTTCTGCGATGTCTCAGGTGCGCGCAATTTTAAAGCTTGACATGTTTGGTGTCTATTTAACCGACGTGACCCGATCTTTTATATTTTACCAAAAAACTGGGTAATAATAAGTGTTTCCTAACATAATGTTAAAAAAAACTTTTTTTAAAAAAAATTTCAGTCATTTTTCCTAATTATAGTAAAAAAAATAAAACCCCCGCAGTGGTGATTAAATACCACCAAAATAAAGCTCTATCTGTCCCCAAAAAATGGTATAAAATTCATTTCAGTACAGCGTTGCATGACGGAATAAACGTCAGTCAAAGTATTGCAGCGCTGAATACTGAAAAATGGCCTGGCCAGGAAGGGGGTCTAAACACCTGGTCTTCAAGTGGTTAAGGTAATGTAAAATGAAACAATTAACACCAGCATTTCTCAACTCCTTTTTTTTTTTTTTGGTCATGGCGCCCTTTTAAAAGTACTCGGTCTTGAGGTACCCCAGTGTGAAATGTAAAAAAAGGCATGTGGTCCCTCAAGTCCATACCTGACCTTTATCCAAGATAGAGGTCTGGTATAGATTTTGGGGGGACACCACTCAAAAACACAAAGTAGGGTTCCCCCTGCACAGCAGACTCTCCCTTCAAATTTAGAACCCTATTTACATCAAGAGTCCCCCTTCTTTCACATCTGGAGCCCTCCTCACATCAGACACTGAAAATTTCAGCGCACCCTGAGTGAGAAAGGCTGCTCTACACACTTGGTACTACATAGGGCCTGTCCATCAATGGCAGTGACTACCCACCTAGCCAATGTTTTCCCCACTTTAACTATACTGTATGTTCTGCAATGCCTTACTGTACCAATGATATGTCTCATCCAACTTGTCTCTCCTTGTTTGCTGATGTTTGTCTTTTGTATTATTTCTTTTTGAAAACTTGTCAAATTGAAATAAACAACCTTTTAAAAACCCTTTACACACAACAGGCTTGATTTTACTAAATGAGTAGAGACTGTTCATCTAGTAGAGTGAATGTTCGTAAATAAGCTGAAGCTGTGTTCACTTTGAATGTGCAGGGAAACAAAAAAAACTGGATTTTCCATTGCAAATATTTGCATATGCAAAGTTAACATACACTTTACTAAGTAAACAGCCTCTATTCCTTTAGTAAATCAACCTCCCTCCTCGGGTATCCCTGTAAAAATAAATAAATACACTGAAGAAAGGCACAATAAAGGTGATTGTTCTAATTCATGCAATAAAATCAACAAGGCTTATTATATTCAATTAATTTTGCCACCTACTGATTGTGCAACCTGCATACTTCAGATTACTTTATGACAGGCGTTTCCACAACTATTGAATTAAAGAAGTTGCCAGTAGCACCCAATCAGATTCTTCCCTTTATGAATAATATAGTGATATATACAGTATATAGAAGAATGCTGCAAAATAATCATTATTAGTAAATCACCGTCCTTTATAGGTTAATGAATTGAGACCTTTGTGTAATTTTACGGCATTAGGAAATTTGACTAGTTAATGCAGCAATGTGAAAATGAGGAACTTCTGTTGACAAGTGTAAACTGTAACAGATTTTCTGTTTGTATCTCCAAATATATTTTTAGATTTCAGTGAAATGCCACTTAAGTTGTTGAACCCTTTCGCTGCCACGGCATTTAAAAAAAAAAATACACGTTATAATCCACATTTTAGGCCTGAAAATTACTTAAAAACCCCAAAACATTATATACAGTATATTCTGAAAGCAAAGACCCTGTCGAATCAAATGGTGGCAGTTGCAAATTTTTACATCGCACGATATTGACGCAGTTGTTTATCAAATTCAAATTTTAGTAAAAAATACACTTGTTAATTTTAGTGCTCCAATAGCATCTTCCCTGGTTTCTGCCCCTGGGGAGTGACAGCTGAGGGACCAGAAGTGATTCAATTGGCATCTTTTCCAATCCCATTCAGCAGGGCAGAGATCTCCTTTGCCACTTCCTGCTGACACCAGTGATGCCAGTCTCGGGCCCACAGAAGTGGCAGCAGAGCCCAGGAAGCAAGGCAGGGGTGTGGGGTAGGGAGGGGGCCGCACTACGCCGGCCCCTAGAAGCAATCTGGCGGCAGCTCAGCCACCAAAATCACTTGCAGTGTATAGCAGACAGTCGGCTGTACACGTGTAAACAGAGTGCCGGAGAAGCCCACTGCCAGGGATGTATGAGATGCGTCTGTGGCAGAAAAAGGGTTAAAGCATATTTAAACCCTGACAATTAACTTCTTTCATTTACTTCCTTTTGGGTTAATATACCATTGAAAGCATTAGGTTTGTTATGTTTGATAAGTGCAAAAAAATAACTTGATCCTGCCAGAAATCCTGTGAGCAGATTACTTCTGTGCTCCCTATCTCTGCTGACTGGTATTAGTTTGCTTTGTTCCTAAAGCTCTTTCTGTTCTACAAGCACCTATGTTATAGAGATGAGGCTAGAGGAAGGTGTTTGGTAGTCTTAAAACACTTCCTGGCCTAGGTTGACAACCCTGCTTTTGCGGAGATACTATATGGTAACTGAGTGGGGTCACCCTAAAACAGGAAGTGTATTGCTGGCAGGATCACCAGGTGGAAATAAAAAGACTGGTAAGTTGCTTTGCATTGCGGTATCACATGAGTGTGAACAGACCTCAGATGCAGACCTTGTTTAGAAATGTCTTCATTAGCTATGTCTTTCCATTTCTCCGATGTTTTATCAGTCAGCCCCAGTGATGTACTCGTCACCAATACAATGACTTCTATTTGTTTCTGTGTTTGCAGACTCCTTCTATGACACATTCCACACAATGTCTGATATGATGTATTTCTGCCAGACCTTAGCTGTTTTGGAGATTGTAAATCCTTTAATAGGATTGGTGAAAACAGGAGTCGCGCCAGCAGTGATCCAGGTATTATTAAACTAAGCAGTGATATGAGCAGCCAGTGGATTATTAGCTTTGCAAATACACTATGCCAAAAAAATACTTTCATGCCTCCATGTTCTGTCAATTCTATAGAAAGGTTTGTGACTTAAAGGAGAATTATAAGGTGAGTCCTTTTCACTCACCTCATAGTTCTAGCCGACCTGTGACAATGAGACTGTCGCAGGTCGGCTCAGTAGATCAGGAGGTGAGCGAACACGTACCGGCGTTCGCTCACCTCTCGATCCTGTCACGGCTCTCTGCCGTGACGGGAGTGGCTGTATTCCCCCCCTTCCTGCTCCGATCTGCCAGCGCTGACTGGCGGAACGGACGGGGGAGGGGGCGGGTACAGCTGGCTCTGCCTCTAGATAGGCAGAGCCAGCTGTCACTCACGCAGCTGGGCGGATCCAGACATAATTGTCGGGATCTGCTTCAGCTGCGGCTCGCGGTATACTGAGCTTAGGATGACGGGAGGGCGCTAGTCTGTGTGCTCCTGTTACCCTAAGGCGAAAGCCTTAACCCCATAGTTCTCCTTTTAAAATCAGTTTAAGTATCGTGTACTTCCCATACACTTGTAGATTGGGTCCTTGTGCCTTGTCCTTGATGGTGAGCAGCCAATTGTAATGACAGATATGTAGGTTCAGAGACACATACACGTCCACATGTAGGCTTTGAACGATTGCATGTGCTATCTTTCCCAGACGTATCTGGCTGGGAAGTCCGTGTGAAAGTCAGTGTCTCTGCAGATAATCTGCAATGTGTGTGATTACAATCAGGAAGTAATGCAATCATTTCCTGACTGACAATGATCAGGCAGACCACAATGCTCACACAAGGTGCCACAGCAGCTAAAAGTTGTGTAATGCACTCAAAAACCAAGCTTGATGCTTGTTTAGTTTTGGTTAAATGCTTTTGTAGACGCCTATGGGAACATTCTGTTACATAAAAGTACTATATATGTACATGTGTGCTTTTCATTTTCTCCCAGGTGCAATGAATAATATATAAATTCACTTTAAAACTGTGTGTTGTACAGTGCAGAATGCAAACACTAATAAGCATGTTGGCAAGGAGACATAATAGAGTTTATTGAAAGGATGTGTTATGTGGGTGTGTCTGTTGAAGCCAAAATTTATACCACGGAATTATCCAGAGAAGGAACCCATTTCCCTCCCTGTGCAGATGGGGCTGTAGAGAGTTTGTCAGAGAGACTGAAAGGAAACCGCTTGTGCTGTGCTCTCTCCCTAGAAATGCCATATTGCTCTGTGGATCCTTTGTCATGTGTGCACCATTTATAAGCTGTTGAAAGTGACCCTGAACTCAGGATTTGGATCTTAAAGTATTCAAGAACCTTAACTATTAAGAAAAATGTATCTTATTTGTGTATCACTCGGCTGTAGATCCTCAAATCATCTCTGAATTCGTGCTGACACTGTCCTTCCTTCTGGAGGGTGGCTACTTTTATTCCCCATGGACCCTGTGTGTGTTGTAAAGTAGTCACCGCTCCATGCTTGCTCCTGTGATGGACTACAATCCCAATACAAATTTGTAAACTAAACATGAGATTGTAGTCCATCACGGGAGTGAGCTTGGAGCGGTGGTTACATTACAACACACACAGGGACCATGGGGAACAAAAGTAGCCCCCCTCCAGAAGGAAGGACAGTGTCGGCACCAATTCAGAGATGATTTGAGGATCTACAGCCGAGCGATACACAAATAAGATACATTTTTGTTAATACATTAGGTACTTCAATGCATGTTTAGGATTTAACGCCTGAGTTTAGTGTCACTTTAAAGATTTTATACACATAGTTAAAAAAAAAAAAAACTTTAGGAACATTGAAACCTAAAGGTTGAACTAAAATGAGTTCATTGAAAGATGATTTCTGGCTGGTTGCAGCAGTGTGAACTTTGTAATAATTCCATTAGGGCAAAACCAAAATCCCTATTGTATTTGTCTAGGGCTCTTTGTACTCCTCACTATCTTATTTGTTCATCTCAGTTTGGATCAAAGTCTAAATTGAGCTACACTAGAATGACATGGTACTTAATAAATGTATAATAGAGGTTTTGCCAATATTGTATTTATTTTGAAGCTATGGTAGTGAACATGGTTACTGACTAGTGACTGTGCAATGTAGACTAAATACTCTCTCCCTTTTAAACTGAATTATTGGCTGGTTATTTGGCACCAGTCACAATACAAATGCTATGCCTCTTTGTTTACCTCCTAGGTTTTAGGCAGGAACTTTATACTTTTTATCATCCTTGGGCAAATGGATGAGATGCAGAGCAAAGGTGTCGTCTTCTTCATATTCTACCTGTGGAGCACCATTGAAGTATTTAGGTAAGTCAGTGGCTCTTGATAGGGCCATTTCTGGAAGGATGTCCCTGCAGCTCTCCAAGCCACGGTGGTTTGATGTACCGTGTACAAACACATTTTTCGATAGAGATAATCTCGTCTGCATGCAATTGTGGAAGACGGGAATCACCAGCACTCAGTAATATCATTCAATATGTCCATTTGTTTGGACGAATCGTCACAATGAAAAAAGCCAACGTTTCGGGGCCACATGGGGGCCCTTCATCAGGGCGAAAAGATGTGCATGCAATTGTGAATATTCCTGCTCACATTTTGACACTTCTTTTCAAATGTTAAGGCCCCATAGGTGCTGCATATACTTGAAGGTTTTGGTGCTTAACAAAGCATCTAAGTTTTAATACTTGCATCTGTCTAGAAGATCGCCATCTTTTTGGAAGGCACTGTTGTATCCCTGGGAATACTGAGCTTGGGTGGCATGAACCTTTGGAAAAGCTTAGAAATATAGACCCTAACTGTGGACCTTAACTTGTTACTGGTGCTAAACACAGGGACAGGTAGACGTTGTTCTAACAAGTCTTCACCATCACGTAGCTCTGTAAAGTCTTGCAACCCACAGTTAGGGATCTCCTAGATCTGCTGTGACTTGGTTCCCTAAAAGCAAGTTTTATTTTTATCTTTTAAGTGAACCTGTGACATGAAGCATTTACATATTCTTAACCAGCAGTAAAATGGCTTTAGAACAGGCCCTCAATTACTTTCTGTAGCTGCACGTACTGTGGAACAATTCCGTCCTTCTGCTATGAACTTTGAGGATGAAGTCCTTCCCTCAGCTCATCTTCCCTCTGCCAGCAATGATTTGGAATCGTATTAGCCTTCTCATTCCCTATGTAAACATAGAGTGGGAGCTTTGAGTGGATGAGTTGGGCTGCTGAGAGAAGGAATTGGAAGATTTCAGGGCTTCTGCTGTGAACTCCTAGTGCCTGCAACTAGAGAGGCCGTTTAGGGATTGTTTTTAAAGCCAATTTATTTCTTGAAAATACTCAAATGGCCATACGCTGCCCTAGGGTTCCCTCTAACCTATAAGCTGTTCCTTGCTTTTCCACCAGGTACCCATTCTACATGTTGGGCTGCATAGATATGGAATGGAAACTTCTTACGTGGCTCAGATACACCATATGGATCCCACTGTACCCACTTGGAGCACTTTCAGAAGGTATGATGTGAGTGGCATTAGAAGAAGGACTTTAATGGAACCAAGCCTAACATTCTCATTGTAGTTCATTTAAACCCCTCTCCTGTAAATTGGGAAGAGTTTTCAGTCATTTCAAAGGATTACCATGGTACCTGCCTTGTTGAAAAGCTTCCGTTAGAAGTTGTTCTCACTTCTTGTTAGAGCTTTAGAATGCTGACATGGCCTAAGCATTCTTGACCCCATTGTTAGTCCTCGTTTTTGCTCTTAGTGGAGATCAGTTGTTCATATGTAGGTGAATCAGATTCTTTCCAAATGGTGAGACCCTTAGAACTCTGTCTGCATTTTAGTACATATGAGATTCCCCATTGCTACCCATAAAGTGTAGTGCTGGGACAGTGGAATTGGCTGATATTTTCCAACATGTCTCTTTCGCACATGTTACATATCGCCGCAAACGTCGCAGTGAGAGCAATAAGTCTAGGGCCATCAATCACTGATAACACTAAACTGATGAGCGGTAAAAGCGTCGCCCATGGCCAATTTTGGGTATGGTAGTATGGTGCGATTTTCGCGGGTGCGCGCAATTTTAAAGCTTGACATGTTTGGTGTGACCCGATCTTTTATATTTTACCAAAAAACTGGGTAATAATAAATGTTTCCTAACATAATGTAAAAAAAAATTTTTTTTTTCCAAAAATTTTCTGTAATTTTTCCTAATTATAGTAAAAAATAAAACCCATAGTGGTGTTAAATACCACGAAAATAAAGCCCTATCTGTCCCCAAAAAATGGTATAAAATTCATTTCAGTACAGCGTTGCATGACGGAATAAACGTCAGTCAAAGTACCGCAGCACTGAATACTGAAAAATGGCCTGGCCAGGAGGGGGGTCTAAACACCTGGTCTCGAAGTGGTTAATGTTACCAGGAAAATGAAAACAACTTTTTTCTTTCCCTGAGATCTTTTCATAATTTATTTTCAGTGCCCAAAAAGATAGTTAGAAATTGTCAGGAAAATAAGCATTAATTACAACTCTAATTTCTCTCCTTTTAGCTGCAGCCATTGTCCTGGCAATGCCCATCTTCAATGAAACTGGCAAGTACAGTCTACAGCTTCCATCGCCCTTGAATGTGACCATCACCTTCTCAGTCTTTCTTTCCGGCTACCTGGTACTCTTATTTTTGGGTGAGTTTTTTTTATACTTGTTACATGCATCGTATGCATGTGGATACAACACTAGGCTGATATTAAACGGGCCATGCAATGATGCTTCCCTTGTGCCTCCTTGTATGACAAGTGACGTATTAGACATAACATATAACCTGTGGACATTCATGCCAAGTGATACAGTGGTGGGTTTCCAGCATGTCAACGCAACTTTATATTTCAAGTCTTTTTTTTTCCCCCCCATTGCTATGATGGGTAGCCTTGCAGACTAATATTGAAATTGGGGAATCCAAGCTTTAGCCTGTCAGTTCTTAAAGTCTGTAAAAATGGAACACCTTCAGTTTAGGGCTCACTGTGAGCATTGAAAGGTATTTTGTCAGAACAGTCAGGGGTTGTATGTATGTATTATATTTTATAAACAGTACACATTTTACAGGTTTACATTAAAGAGAACCAGTGACAACTAAGTTAATTTCCTCACTTGCTGTTAGGTCTCACTGTGGCAGGAAATAAGGGGAAATCTCATGAATGGAGTAGCAGATATATGTATAAAAATGACCTGGATTTCTAATGCTTCTGCACACTACCCAAAAAAAAAATCCCCTTGTACCTTATAGTATTATAAGCATACCTCTGGCTGGACTGACTTGTGTACTGTTTGGAAGTGGACAGATCACATGATACATTCTCTTTCTCTTTACAGCACAACAAAACATGTTTTCAGTTACTTTCCCTCTTGGTGGGAGCCTTGTACTACCCATCCAGAGGGATCTAATACCCACAGATTGGGTGACTAACAGCGGTTCTTACAATGGCAAGAGAGAAAAATTGAATTCATTTGACCCCCCCCATTTTATAGCAGGTGTGTTGAGGGTTTAGAATCATGTTGCGGGGGGCTTTGGTAATATATTAACACAATAGACAGAGGTAAGCAATCTTTTGCTCTGTTGCTGTTGAAGGACCATTGATTGTGATAAACGCTTGATTATGATACATATATTATATGTTTATAGAATGATATTACTGTCTGTGAATAGAACTGTATAAGTATGAAAAACCAATAAAAAAAACTTTGAAACTACAGCACACCAGAAGAGCAGTTGATTAGTGAGGGTATTATATCTCATATCTGATATCAGCAGGCAACAACAGTGCTTAATATAATCAGTTCCACACTCCTAGAACAAAGAGCAGTGGAGGCCTTTCCCATAGATAATTTGGTGTGCTGTGCTCTCTTCTTTCTGTTAATTCACCTGTACTAAAAATGTCCTAAATAGGGATGCACCGATACCGATTCTAGTATCGGTACCGAGTATTTGGGTGAGTACTCGTACTCGCCCAAATGCTCCGATACCTAGCACAAGTACTTCCTGTATCAGAAAGCCGGGCAGCGCATCATTACACACTGCCCGGTTTCCTGATTGGCAAGGAAACGGCTCCATGCTCTCTCGTCACTTGTGGAGCTGATTTCACGGCCAATCAGGAAGCCGGGTAGCGTGCAATGACGTGCTGCCTGGCTTCCCGATTGGTCAGGAAGCTAGCAAATCCGGAAGCCGGGCGCCGTGTAATGACGCAGCGCCGTGTAATGACGCAGCGCCCGGCATTCTGATTGGCCGGGAAGCCGGCGTCATGCTCCCTCGTCATCTCATGAATCATAATATTAAGAAAGTGACCTTAAATTACACAAATACAAGTTTGTTTAGACCGTTCAACCCACTCTATCATGTAGCCCTATTTCTGACACAAGTCTTATCTTGAAAGCAATCTGAGTTTCTCTTTCCTTTTTTTTTCTCTTTTAACAGGACTCGCCATCAATTTCCGTCACTTATACAAGCAAAGGCGCAGGCGTCTGGGGAGTCGTAAAAGGAAGATGGCTTGATGATATTTTAATGTTTTTTTTCTCTTTCTTCTTATTGTTGGTGGGAGGCGGTTTTGTTTATTTCCCCAGTCTTTCTTTTTATGGTTTTACTCTTTAATACATTTTTTAGTAATCTTTTTTTATGTTCTTATCCCGGGGGCCATCTTGTCAAAGGACATTCCTACTCCATGCCGAACAGTTGAAATGGATAAGCTGAGTGTAATGTGCGATTATCACTCGCATGCGAACTACCTATCGACCTCCAAATTAAAAATCTTTATCTGTGTCTTTCTACAGGCGCTTGGCCAGAAATCCTAATCACCCCTGCCACCTAGGGATTACATGAATTATATATAATCTATTTTCTTACAAAAGCATCTGATTTTTGCAAGGGTGGAAAGGAGAAAGAGAGGCCACTGCTAAATCAAACAAGCCAGGATTGGGTGTTTGAAAGAGTCAAAATCACTCTTTAGTTAATATAGCAGCAGAGTTTTTCCTTTAACCTCCCTGGCGGTATGATTATGGAGGATTTTAGCATCCGAAAGCGGTACATTGTTTTTCATGGAAATTTGTTGTTTTATATTGTAGGCCTGTAATTCTTAGTAAATCCTAGGAATAACTCGCCTAAATCTGCCCAAACAAGTGTCCAGTAGACATCCCAGGTATGATAAACTTCGAAACTCTTTTGAATTTCCCGCCGGCTGTGACGCCCGAAAACGAAACTAAAAGTCAGATGCCGGCATCGGCCGGCCGCGTACAGCAGAGGACGCCGCGGGCTTGCAGGGACAAGGTGAGTGACATTTTTCTTGGATTCATACTTTTGTGATTCTTTTCGTTCTGCAGTAATGGACATGCCAGCACACCACAATGAATCGATAACTGCACTCTACCTTTTTTATTTTTTTTAGCACCGCAGTGGACCAGAACCCATGGTATGTTCATTATGGGGTGCTGCAGTGGGTTGCCCGTTGACTTCTACTGTATTATTTGTTTGGGTGCAATTTGCAAGAAATGGCAGCACCTGTAGAATAGATGCATTATCATGTTACCACAACTCGCACATCTAAAAGGGTCCTTAGAATTATGTGTGTCTAGTTTTTTACATGTATTTGTATACAGTTGGTACAGTAACTGTTTTGACTTAAAGGGGAACGTTACTGCTTTTGGGGTGGGTGAGCTCTTGCCATAACGTGCAAGTATGCACGGCATACTTGCTTCTTATGGCACACTCCCAGTCATGAGATATCGGCACTCTTGTAGCTTTGTCGCCACCACTGACATCTTCTGGGTCCATCATCTTCCAGTCAATGGGCAGCCACTGATAAAGATCCAGATATGGGCATCAAATAGAGCTGCCCATTTAAGACTGAGTTTGCTTCTATACTGTGAAGGAGTTTGGCTTCAAACATCTGTGTGCTTCTTTTTGCGTGTCGGGAAAAGCACTTCAGCAACAACTCGTCTCTTAAGTAACCATTTTACCTAATGGAATGTATAATATCAAGACACCAGAGAAGAAAAAGTTATTCATCCGCCCACATCTTCTCACTTACGCCCTTATGTTCATCCCTTGTTTTGCATGGACACAAATTGTATAAAGATCTCAGAATACTTGAATATTCATCAGCAGGTTCTGACAATGTATAATGAAGATGCACTATAGACTTACCCTGTTAATTTATATTTTTAGGTAGCACGTTAATAATTCTGACTGAATTACAATGGCATAGAACTGACATTCAAATAACGGTTAAATGTTGCTGTCCAGTCAATAAATATGGTGCTTTGCCCCAAGCTATCACCTGTGTGTTGTTGTTATTTTTTAAAATAGGAGAATAAGTAAGAATTTACATTTTAAAGTATTAAATTAGTGCATAAATCATTCGTTTTTTCTTATAAATCGTTTCTCTTTAAGTTTTTAAGGCGACATTTTGTTATACTATAAAAGGTGGGAGAGCCTGTTTCTGCACCAGAGGGAGACTGCCAATACCCTGACTGAATATACTGTGTGCCTTTAGTAAATTAAATATTTAGTACATCTCTCCCATACATGCACATTTTCCTATGTGTTATCCCTTTAAAAACTGCAAGTACAGAAAAATACCAGTGGTTCTACTAGTAACCCACTGTGATCCTAACTTACTATTTGGGATCACCAACTTATTTTTTATGTTGGACTGAACTGAAATTCAACACTGTCACTGGGTAATGCGGGATAAAAAAAAACAATTACTGTCAATTCCAAAATGCCCTAAATAATCCACAATACAAAACACAGACATTTCATAGCACACTAAGCAGCTAGCCTGCAAAAAAACTAACAAAACAACACATTGCACTATATAACAATATGCATTAAATGGGATATTCTTACTAGGGATGTCCCGATACCACTTTTTTAAGACCAAGTACTGTCCCTCATGTACTTGCCGATACCAATTACCGATACTTTTTCTTAAAGGGACAGGTGACTTTTTCCTAAAAACACATATGATTTTAGGGCAGTTTCTCGCCAGAACCGAACACATGTCCCTAAGGCAGAATAGTATTGTGCTTTGGGAACGTGTTCTGCGAATACATGTCTCCAAAGCAGAATTCCTCTCACCTGCGTGTCTATCTCACCTGGCGACGTACATCTGCAGTGGTTCTGTGAGCACTCCATCTCACCGGCGATGTCGGGACCCAGTCTCCCCCATGTCCAGACCAGCCAACTCTGCACTGCTGGGCCCTGTGACTTTCGTCCATCTCCCGGACCAGTCCCCCCCCCCGTCAGTGTGCGGTGGAAACCCCAGATTCTAGCCCCGGAGCGGTAGTTCCGCCCCTGGGGCTGCCCATGGCAGTGCCTGCGCCGGGAAGGAGGAGGAGATAAAGAACCGGACAGCCACTGCCATGGACAGCTATCTGCAGGTCTCTAGCAGGCTGCCGAGGTCCCCACAAGCAAGTAACTCAGACGGCCGCTGCTATTTGAAAATTTAAAGGGCCGGTGTCAGCCTTAAAAATCAGGGCATTTTCACGAGTACAAGTACTCGTGAAAATGCTCGGTATTGGGACATAACTAATTCTTACCAGAAAATCCTTTTCTTGAAATCCATTGAGGGACACAGTTCTGAAGAACTCTTAAGACGTAGGGTTCATGCTGCTGCCTCTAGGAGAAATGCACACTAGGCAAACACATTGAAGCCTATCACTTTAAGGACATAACCCCTCCCACCGCAGTTATAGCAAGCAGTACAAAGGAACTTGAGGGGAGACAGCTGTGTCTCAGAGAAAATAGGATTTTCGTCTTACCATAAACTCCTTTTCTCAATCATCCATTGAGGGACACAGCTCTGAAGAATTCTCAGATGTAGGGATGTTCAAAAGCAGTCCAAACAGAGGAGCAGGCACCAAACAACTAAAGCACTAGCTCAATAAAAAAAAATGAACTGTCAAAGTACACTTACAAAGTCGCCTGAAAAAAAATTTCTGCCAAAACCTAGCATCAGAAGAGGCAGAAACATCAACGTTATGGAACTTTAGAAGTGGATGAACAGAGGACCAGATAACAGCCTTGCAATTTTGAGTAACAGAAGCTTGGTTTTGGAACACCCAAGAATGACTACCCGCCCTAGTAGAATGAGCAGATACAGGAAAAGGTGGTGCCCCAACCCATGAGCTTGAATGAGAAGACGATGAATTGACTTAGAAATAATGGATCTAGAAGCTGAACAACCTTTTCTAGGGCTTTCTGGAAGAACAAATTAAGAGCCTGAACATCGATAGGAAGCTGTAGCTCAGGTTATAACATGAATAGCCCACATGACAAAATTAAGAGAAATTTCTGCCCAGTCCAAGATTGAATGTACTTCTGTTGCTGTTCACACGCTCTTGCTGATGTATGCCGTAGCATTGTCTGACTGAATCTAAATCGGGCACTCAGACACAAGACAAGACCAACAACCCTGCACAGACAGATGATCCAAAACACAGCCCCATCCCACAAACCCGGTGTCTGTCGTGACAACCTTCCAAGATATAGGAAGACACAGCTCAAACTAAAGAAAAAAACAAACTCCTCAATTCAAACCAAGGTAGACTACCAATACTTACACTATACCAAACCATCTTTTCCCGCTATTGTTTGTTTTATCTCTAGAACCCTTCCTTTGCACAATACGTAATAACTCTGACATTGCATGCCTTACAATGATGAACAGAATATAAAATATCTGTGTATGCATATGATCTGCTTTTTACAGTCATCATGCCTGAAACATCTCTTCTGATCCTATTACAGGAGTTCAAGAAATATAATATTCTTTACAATCTGAAGATTAATTTTGAGAAGTCAGAAGTTCTACTATTAGCATTCACTCCCGGGATGGCTTAGTACCAATTATCCATTGAATATAGCTAGCGCATCAAATCAAATGTTTAAGTATTCTTATCACAAAAAACGTTTGAGAGATTTTTCCATTTAAAATTCCCTCCTTTACTTGCTAAGGTGAGATCCTTCCTTGAAAAGTGGAACACATGCTCATTTTCATGGATTGGACGTTGTAGTATCATCTAAAATGTCCATTTTACCAAAATTCCTTTTTCTTATAAATTCCCTTCCTATACAGGTTCTTTTTTTTTTATCATCTCCACTCAGTTTCTTCAATGTTTTTGAAATTCATATGTCCCCATAAACGCCTTAGGTTCAGAGTAGACTAGGATCAGGTGTTTGGATGACTCAGACCTGCCTGCTGAACTGAAGTCTCATCCATTTATTGCTCCCACTTTAATAGTTTGTAGGACAGCTATCAGAACGTTTTCTTTAGCTCCTTACCCTTCCCCACTTTGTCTTGTGTTGGGTAATCCTAGGTTTACATCAAGCAGCTTTGGTGACACTTTCCTCCGCACACAAACTTCAAGCTCTTTATTTTTGTGGGGCTACCATGTGGTCCTCCTTGTCAAGCTTGATGGATCAGAAAAGTTTCTTTTGGTTACCCTTCTGGGCCGCGCTCCAATTGCGTCACTTTATGGGCACCCTTACTCCAGCCTATGGGTTCTGTGGGCTCCTGATGCCATTGGAGCAACATT